TGTCTTCTTGTCACGCTCAAATGGCTTACTGATTTGTTACTGTGCAAATATGTCTACCATGCCCCAGGCAATGCCCCTATCTCAGGAAAAATCTATAAACCATCTGCAGATACTAAATGAACGCGTTTTAGCTTACTGGGATGTTATCCAGCCTGCCCAGTGTGAATTTTAACTGGTGCGTGAGTACTGTGTAATCATTGTTTTGTGTGGTATTTACACATGCTTTTTAAAGATACAGCTCTCTGCCTGCAGCGGCATAGCTAGGGTGTTCCTTCATTTGTATGATAATGAAGGAGTATTCAAGGGGCCCATTCTATTCTGTTCCTTACCCAATCCTGTTCACTGTGATATCTGAGTAAGGGCCCAACAGCAGAGCCGCTAATGAACATGCGGGAAGATTAGGACAAAGAGACCTGCCATACCTATTCAGGGAGAAATCTGCATCTGAAAGTGACTGCCTGAAATGGGCTAGATGCCAAACAGCAGGGAGAAGGGTGAAGCTATAGAATATAAACGAGGGAATACTATTATATTTTCCTGTCTTTAACTCACTGGTTATTTGTAAAAAAGGAAACAAACAAATGGAACCATTTGATTTGGCAGCAATGCAGTTTGTATTCATATCCAAGCAAATGCAACACCCCTTCTCTCCCACAGACCTGCCTGCCTCTGAGACTCTTCTTTGTCTTTCATGATCCTACTCTCATCCTACAGCTCTCCTGTTCTACCTCTCCCTCTCTCATCCGTAACAGAGTCTCTACCAACAGCTGATGAATATACTGTATCTGTAATTGCCCCAGGAGGCAGCAGTCAAGGTGCTATTAGATACCTGAGGATGTCGGGGATGTGAGCACTTGTTTTCAGGGATCAGTGCTTTTGTAGGAATGGAGGTTATGCAGCTGAAAATAGGATGCCTACAACTCAGGTCACAAAAAACACCATTGCTCAGCAGCTGTCATACTCCAATTGAATGAATTTTAACTTATTGTTTCTGAGCAGATATACTACCATCCTGCTTGTGCAGGTCCTCTACCTCCATCCATTCTTAGTCCTCTCTTGTGAGGAAGGTGCCTGTGCATGCTCTGCTTCCTCTGAGGAAAGAAGAGCCTCCTCCAAGAGACCTTGGCAGTCTTCAGGTCCCAATTTTTAGTGGCATTTCCTGCTCAAGGTATGTCAAAGCTCTCAGCTGACCTCATAAGAAATGTGGAGGAGCATCTCAGCAGCAGGAGAGCAGACACAACTGCAGCAGCAGAAAGGCTCAGTTTTTCAACCATTCACAGGCACAGAGGACAAAGTGCAGCAGGAGCCGGCTAACATATAGAAACACCATGCCTAGCCAGCATTGGTGGGTACTGTTCCTCCTCTGATCCTTGTCCAGCAGCTAGACTGGCTAATAAATAGCAGCCCTTCTGGAAAAAAGGGGATTATACGTAGACCCAGAATAAGAGAATCCACCTAGGAAAGACTATCTTCCCCCAGCAACCCGTAAGACATACTGTAGCTCTAGAACAGATCTTCAAAATGGTGGGAGGAAAGCTTCAGGCCCTGAAGTGAAGTTTGATAGCAGTATGTGAATCACTTGTCAGTGGACCTGGGATGAGAATTTGGTATCTAAATCTGAGCCTTCCCAGCGCCAGAAGTGTTCCAGTTGGGGCTCATCCAGGATTAATTTGCAAAGACTAAGAAAGAGAAGGAGCGATGACTGACATGGTAATATAGCATCGCCCATGCAAAAATGCATTCACCCGCTCCAGCATTTGCATAAGCAAATACACACCTTGTTTTGCTCTATAAAGAGTGTGGGAATGAGATGTGCTAATGAGACATAGGGAGATGCATGTAAAAGACAAGCTGTGGACAGGCAGTGAACATAAAGAGAGATGTGTGCATGTTAAAGCACACAGGCAGCAAGTGAAATATATGCACTTTCTTATAATCTAGCAACAATAATCATGATGATAATTGAGTGCTTTTGCCATTTTTCTATCCCTACGCACCTCTGTATATCTTGAGAAAAGAAGCAAATATCCTGACGTTCTGTTCAGGTTCTTATAACTGGAATCCTGTGAGTACTGTCAAAAATGTCTACTAAAATCCACTTGAATCATTAAGCAAATTTTCTTTAGCCATCTTCCTGCCCCTTGTGTTCCACTTTTTTTCCTATATTAACAATGACAAAGCTGCATGGAAAGCCTACAAGAATGTGTTTTACACAGAATATTGGAAAACATCAATTTGGAGTTTGTGTTCCACAATCCGCGGCACACCCAGTACTAAAAATTGCTTTCATCTTATCAGGAATCAGAAGCAATACCAGACCTGCCTTTATTTCTAACTAACACTTGCAAAATGAAAATGAGCAAGCTTCAGATCAGAAAGGACTTGGAGAGATTGATGGGAAATATTTTCAAATGGTAAATAGTAGGGAAAAAACAAAACCGTCTGGACAGTGCACTAGCAGAAAAAGAGGCAATGTTTGTTCAATAAACTCTTGCAGTTATTGACATATTACAACTAATCAGCATTAAAGGCAAAAAGAAGCTGTAATGTACCCATGTCCTCATCTTTTTGGAATGTTTCCAGTACTAATTACACCAGAGGAGCATCTGGACTGGAATCCTCCTGCTTTTCTAGTCATTACTTAGAGGAACTCTTCAACTGCACAAAAAGTTACAGGCTTTCTGATTTTTGCAGTGATACTCTTCTCCTTTTGTCTTTTTGCAAGGCCATGGATCCACAGCAATAACCCTTTAGCTGAAAGCCTGTTGTAAACTGAACCAACAGTAGCAGATGCACGAACAGATTTCCCTTGGGAAGAACGTCAAATCAGTCTGACAACAGTAGTGGCAAGTGCTAGCAATGTTCCTTGTCATTGTACGTCTTTGGTATAAATGTCCCTAAAATGTCAATGGCTGATGGTAGATATTGAGTAAAGTATAAATGTTGTAGTGCACAGTGTACATCCCTGTGCTCTCATTCCTAAAAAAATGGCAATGAACCATGATTTATTTTTGGTAGGGGGTAATCGCTTATGCTGTGGCATGGAGCTCTCGTGCAGGCAGTGCTGGGAGTGAATGAGGACAATTCTACATGTGCATGGTAGGATGAACAGTGTTCATTGATTATTTTATTCCCTTATATTTGATATGGTCCAGGTGGATATTTCCTCTTATTGAAGCAGAAATCTTTTAGTATACAGCACAATGAATTTTTTGATCACAGCATAATAGAAGCAAATTATTCCCTCTCTCCCTATTGTGTCGTGGAGGTATCACTAACAGGCTTTGGGGATTTCCAGCCCCTTTTGGCTTCCCATCCGAAAGAAACATTTGCTTTGCTCCTTATGTTCCAGTCTTTTAGGAGAAGTTGTGCTAGCTGCACACCTTGTATTATCCTGGGAATTGTGGCTGCCTTATGACACTGAAATCTCCCTCTAGGCAGATTTTTCCCCTCAGCAGTCCTTCAAGATACGGTATTTTTGCCCTTTTCACTCCAGGGTGCAAAGAAGTTGTTGGTGGGACATAAACAACGAGGGGAATTTCACTTGCAAAAGCACCAGGTTGCTTACCTTTACTACTTTTTACTCATGCCTGGATCATCTTGCATTGGTTTCTATGACAACAGAAAAATAATTTCTTAACGTAAATCAAGTTTGTCACACTTATGCTTTTTGCGTACCACTTGCTGAAGGCTAGATAAGTAATTCTGAAACTGATAGCAGACAAACTGATCTGCTCTGTTTATAAAAATGGAGCTAACAAGATTCTGAAATAGAAAAGGTTCCTTGTTTTCTAGAGAAATCTACTTTGACTAGTGGATTTTTCTTTTACATTTTGGGAAAGAAAAACAAAGATGTGGTGAATACCATAAGTCTTCACTAATCTTTTACAAATGAAGGCTTATGCACAAATCAATTTTATTTCTAAGAAAAGAAGTGTGAATATTCAGCCCATAATTAACATAGGAAGGGGAAAAAAGGAGAAAATTCATAGCAGTTCCTCTTTAGAAAATGTCAAGGAATTTCTGAAAAATCACATTCTGTGCCTGTTTGATACGTGGGGAACCATAATAGTTCTTGATCACCTGGACCCTGGAGTACAGAATCTTAAGTTTAGCTTTCAGTTTCATATTTGTTCCCATCCTTGTCCTCTGACACCTTTTTTATTAAGCTCTGGAAGTATAATCATCAGGTTTATACTGGGAGGACTATTTTGCAGACCGTTTATCCCTACTACACGTGTTTCTGCTGCATAACCATGAGCCTTTTTAAAAGACATTCATTTCTTTACAGTCTTAGTGATGAATGGTCGCATTCTGTGTCTGTTTAATCTGAGGTTATCATCGCTTCTAGTTACGACAAAACTCTTTCAGCAGTTTAGTGAAATTTTTTAGTTCCAATATCGCAATAAATTTTTTGCAGTGGGCCACTCTTGTTAATCCACATCATTAAGTGCCAATAGGCTGTTTTAGTTATGCTGTCTCTGACATAGGGCATATCCTTTTCTTCCTGTGGAGAACAGACTCCATGCGTGAATAAGCAGGATGGGCTATGATATGAGTATAAATGAGCATATTGCCTTCTGTCCACAACACAGCCCCTGCTGATCTCCAAGGAAGATTTACACAATGAGCAAAGGCAAAATCTCATCTTTTGCTGTGGCAGCTAAAGCTTTGTTTATTATTCTTTCACTCCTTAGTACTGGATCCAGCAGAACTCAGTAGGAGTGATCTCTCTTCCTTTCCCATCTTCCTTTCTCTGTTTCTGCTCCACTTCCTTCTTGGCATTTCTCCTTTCTTCATTCTCCTCCTTCCAGCAATTCTAAACCCAGCCTCTGCTGCATGTTGGCTTCATTTCCATTCCATCTGCTAAAATGCATTCATGTATTATGTATCGAATGTTGACATTTATAATGGTGTCAATAGGGTTTTGAGTCAAACTCTCAGTGGAAACAAGCAGTTTGGACAGAGTTTACCTGTCTCATCAGTATCATTTCAGGCTGTTTGCAAACTCAGGAAAGGAGATAATGCACATTTGGGTCGTATTTGGAAGATTTCCTGAACAACCATGAGGGGTAAGAGCATTTTTTGTTTTTTAATGTAAGCTTAGATTCTAAAGAGTATGGTGGTTCCATGTGATTGACACATAAAACGGGGGGACCCCGTGTTTGATAGCAGTAACAGCACTTTATTAGTTAAGTTCTACCGGCTTATAAATAGCAGCTTTGTACTAAGCACTGCACCAGTATATAACAAAAAGGTAGTCTTTGTCCTCAAATATCTGCAGTAAAATGGTGCCCAGCAAGAAGCAATGAGAGCACATGGGTCAACACGATAAGCCTGCTCTAACCCAGCATCCCCAGCATTGAGTGCTTTTGACTCAAACTTAAAAATGCCAAATGACTACCTTCAATGTGAAATAATCACCTCTTACCACCTTCCCTACCTAGTTGGCCAATTTTCTCAAATCCTAAAAATTAAGGTGTAGATATGAAGCATCAGTCTGTCTCAAAATATTCAACAGTCATGGATGATAAGCCTCCGTTTATGTCCACGAAATCTGTGTTCTTTACCTTCATCTGCTACTTCCAAAAGACAGATAGATAGAGGTCTTCATTTCAAGAATCATATATCAAAGTAAACATATGCAAAGGCAGTAATATGAGTGCGTATGTCTTTTGAAGCATCCACATACATACATATATATGATTGGGAAAGGGTTTATACGCTTAAGGCTGCAATTCCACAACAGTTTAATAAGATGAAGCTGCCCTCCACCTTTCCTTAGCTGTTCTCCTCCATTCTTCTCTTCACTCTGATACTTGTCTGATCCTACAGTGAGCCAGTTCAGGGGGAGAAACAAGCAACTCATTTTAGGGGGAAAAGAAAGGAAGCATTTTCTTCCAGCTTAGCACCTTGAACCAATTCACTTCAGGTTGAGATGTGTGTCAGTGCAAGGGAGAGCAGGAAAACCCAGCCAGTAGTGGAGTGAGGCAGAGGAGCATGATAGTTTTGTGGTAACAAGAACCTAGATCAGCTTGGATTGTTACAGAACTGCAGCCTCGGTGGGGGTTTTGAACATCTCAGACATGACTGCTGTATCTATATAAGTACCATAGGTCCATCAAACTTGCTTCAAAAGTATTATGGCATTAGGAATGCTTAAATTTACAACCCTGTTTTCTATTTCTTCTCTTCAGTGCATTGATTGCTTCTCTTTCTCGAAGGTGTTTGCTATGCATCATATTTTCATTTTACTAGAGATCTAGTAAAATGAATCTTTGCATATGTTTACTTTGATATATGATTCTTGAAATGAAGACCTCTATCTATCTGTCTTTTGGAAGTAGCAGATGAAGGTAAAGAACACAGATTTCGTGGACATAAGCAGAGGCTTATCATCCACGACTTGAATATTTTGAGACAGACTGATGCTTCATATCTATACTTTAATGGAAACAGAGGTGAAAAGAGGTTGGGGAACAGAAAAACCATTGGTTTTATAAAAGCTTCAGGTCTTCAAAGACTTCACTGCGCATATACCCAGCCAGTTGCACTAGGTCATCTTTACTTTGATCTTGATCTCCAAATGATTCATGGCATTCGGTGGTCAGCTAAATCAGCTTGCTAGTCAAGTGTCAGGAAGTCATAGAAGTCAATCACAGCTCTTCTTTTTGCATCCCACTCTTGTCTTTACTTCATGCAGTTAGTTCACTGGAAGTGTATTTGCAAGGGAGAAAGACCCACTAGTAAAATGGAGAAGAGCTTTCCCTCTGTACGGCCCCACTGCTGTATCCCTGGCCTTGTGTATAAATGTTTTCTCTTGTGCTTGTTTCTTGCTGCTCCTGATCTTTTGCAACATATCTCATTTTCTCTGATCATTCTGAAAACACAAACTGAATCAGATGACACCCTCCAGGGGAGAAACAACTTGTCTTAGGATCAAAGGTTCTGGTTTGTTTCCTGCTAGAGGTCACCTGTTGTACGCATTACATTCACAAGTTATTTTTGAATTACTGTTTATTCATACTAAGTGATTTGAGCCATATATAATATCCTAAAAATAATCCCAGTCTTGAAAAATGCTGAGGGCCACTCAAGAGCTACTGAATGCTTCCCATTCTCCTGAGAGCTGAAGGCTTGGCATATCTCACTGTATTGTGCCTTAACTTTGCTGGTCAGAGCATCACTGAAAAACTTTACCCTGATGCATCTGCTTCCTACCTTTCCTGTTTGCTAATCCTCAGTTTATAGTTACAAAAGACAGCAATATATTTTTTGGAATATTACTCAAAGGAAGAAGAGTTCAGCAGCACTTTTTCATACATAGCACATTTTATTATTATATTTTCTATCCACTCAGCAGTATCTTTACAGAAAAGTATATCTGCTCCTGCAGTTCTGAGTGATGTGGGAGCTATTTAAGAATTGTCTATTGATCTGCTGCTCTGTATTGGGACACTCTGCCTGGAGAGGGAGCTGTGGTTGTTTCACTTCTCTTCCAAAGGGTCAAAAGTTAGCCAAAAAGCAGGCAAGATTAGACAGGGAATAGCAAGAACTAGTGACTGAAATTACAAGTAAATGGTCTCTTTCAGAAGAATGCTATACCTGAGGTGGAACATGATGTAGCCACATCAGCAAAACCTGTCTTCATTCAAGGGGATAATTAGCTTGTTCCTAAGTCCTTCAAGATGGCAGAAAATATTGTCTGTTCGTGGAACAATGAATGATCTGTGGCAAAAGGGATCAAGTTTTCAGGGATATGTCTTAAATCATCTTTCTCTCAACCTCAAAATCATTAGCTGACATGCTTTTTCTAGGCAATTCTTTAATCTCTGATCAAAATAAAGCTGTCCCTAGACTCAGTGCTTGAAGACTTCAGAATCTGGTCCTGGTCTGTTATTTCCTTCTGTCCTAATTTTCTTTCCAGAATTGTGCACAGGATCCTGAGACCCATGAATACAAAGCCATGAAGGCTGACTAATGAAGTCTTCTTAGAAGACCTGTCAGCTTCAGCGGGATGAGTAGTCTGCACTTAACTGGTGATGTCGGGGAGACCACTTGTGGAGCAAGTTACCATTCATTCTGAGGGAGGAGGTTTTATCAGCCTGAAAGTCTAAAGCCTAGACTGACTCTTAAAAGGGGTAGAAAACCATAAGTGTTCCTGAAATCAGGGAGAAGCGAAGGTGGACAGCATGCCCAGGGGATTTTTTGGAGCTTTGAGTCTACCTTCCATAGCTGTCTAGTCAAATGAACAAAAAAGTGAGATTTTTTTGTAGGAGCATTCCTAATTTCATCCCTCATGACAGCAGTGTAAGCCTCCATGGAATGGACAGAACTAGAAGCAACTCTGGGAAACTGTGTTTTGCATCAGTCACAAGGGTTTTCAGTTTAAACATCCCATTCTGGGACATGTGACATCCATGACTTTTCATATGCTACAGTCTGATCCTGATGTTTCGTTATAGGATGACATGTGTCTATCTTACAAGAGAGGCAAAGTTCTTTTATCAGGTGAATTCTGAAGTGCAGCCATCCTACCTGTCACTTTCAGGGAAGAGTGTATTATTTAGTTTTCTTTATTATTTATAGACACTGAGACCCATTAAATCTGTGAAGCTGCATAAATGTTTGCAAAATTGGACTTGAATTATTTAACCCATACTGTACCTGGAAACACATTAAAGCATTACATAATAGAAATCCGAGGGTGATTCATGGAAGAAAAAAGTAACATTGTAAAGATACTTCAAAAGGAATAAAAAGTGATCAGTCATAAAGCTAATATTTAGCAAGGGGAAATGAAATGTCTATAGACAACACACACAAGATGTTTTCAGAGGGCAGTGAATGGAGAAAGATACAAGAAGACTATGCCAGATGGCAGAACCAACAAATGAGAAAATACACTGTACCACTCACAGGCGTTTAACATGGCAATGCATAATCTAGTGGGCTGTATTCTCAGTCGGTGTAGGCTGGAATAACTCCAGTAAAGTCACTGAAGCCAGCACATCCAGCTGAGGACTTGGGGAAATATGTTTTTTATTGGGCGTATTTATATATACCACAATTTGATGCTTCCCATGCTGTTTGTTTTCCCCTTATAACACACTGTCTAAGGGGCAAATTTGGCTTACAAGTCAGTTTGTCAGAAAGTTTATAACCCCCTAACCATATCAACATAATTGTTATCATTTTTAGATCTGATGTGTAGAGAAGCGCTGCAATGCACAACGAACAAAATTCTGAGGGCCACAACAAGTTATCTGTTTTGGACAGTATTAACAAATAGTACACAGACGTGAATAGACTACTGCCTTGAAAACAGCCGTCTGAGCCAGCCGGCTCTCACCAGCATACACCCTGGGACTGGCAGGACCAAAGGTGCTTGGGCAGCCAGCACTCCTGCATGGGTATTACACTTTATCTCCTCTGCATATCAGCTGCTTCTGTCCCTCCATTGTTTCCAGAGGAGGCAGGAACAAGCAATTGCAAATCTATGCACATACTTCCCAAGCTGGTGTCCCATTATATCCCTCGATCTGCCCTGCCTATATTTAATGCAGTAGTGCAGTCAGACACAGGGCACTTTGTACAGGAACACAAAGCCTATGAGCAATTTTAAAGAAAAGGCAAAGCCTTCTGCAGGAAGTATCATTTGAGGGAACTAAACATTGTGTTCTGCAGCATACATAATATATGTAACTGCTTGTGGCAAAATGGCCAGGTCATGTACAAGACAGGACTTGCAGAAAAGCACCAGCCATTTCTAGGGAACCAGACGGCTCCTGTGAGTTTTGGCGAGTCTCTCCCATATTTTCCTTTGGCAGCATGAATGTGGGAGAAGATGACACCATCTGATGTATTTTTCCCTCCAACTCATTGACTTGGACCACTGCAAGTCAAAATCCACCTGTGGTCAAAGTTTTGTAGCAATGACCAGCTACATCAGACCTCCAGGTAAATGGATAGAGTGAGACTTGCAGAGGCTCAGAAAGTTCACTGCTCTCAAAGTGAGTCACTCTGTTATTTCTTCTCTCAGATTGCAACGGGCATCTCAGCACTTTTCTCT